ATGAGCAGGATCCTTCCATCCTTTTCTCGGATTGGGACCTGTTCATATACGTTCTTGGCAGATGATCCAGAAGTGGTTTGCCGTTGCCTTCTTCTGTGTGTGAATGGAGTAATTGTTGGGATGCCACGGAGAAACCGGGGAAGCCCCCGGAGGAAAACTCCGTGTTGCCTAGACCACGGCCTTGGCCTTTGATTCCACTGTTATTTGACTTTTGGAATTTCGACGATATTTTTATGACAAATAAATCTTTAGGAATGCAGTTAAAATTCTTACTGCTCATACCGATGATTTTTGGCGTTTGACTAAAGTTGGAAGAACCACTTGACGTTCGAATAGCCTGTGGTCAGAACGTTTTGAGAAAAAGTGAAGAGAGAATGATGTAATATATCATTTCTTTAAAGATTACCGCCTTATTTCAGAAAAATACTAATTCTGTTATTGATGTTATGTAAAAGGAGTTATATAAGGCAGATTTTGACAAAACAGTTGAAAATATTCATCTACGCACCAAATAAAACATTTCATCGAAATCTGTTAAATTGTTACGGAGACGGCACAATGACACGCAAGGGAATTATGAATAAATTTTACACTCTTTAAATCTAATGGAATTGAACAAATCGAATGTAGACAACGATTTTTTTGAAAGAACCAAGCTTTAATTGAAGTTTGTTAAAAGGTGACAACGAAAACTAGGTACGGATTTTACCGGGTACATTACTACAGTGTTCAGTTTTGTAAAAAGAATTCTTAGGAAATTACTTTAACTCATTAAATGACATTTAACGTGAATAACATTTAAAAATTCAATTCTTACCCACAAGAAAACATCACGCATAGCAATTGCAAATGTATAACAAATGAAATCCATTAACTGGACTCTGAATACAATAAGCAATTATAAGAGTGAAAGCACACGGTTTTCATAGTTAGGCCTTAATGTCCAATAGACTGTTAAGTATAAAATATGTACCCACTAACTGACTATGAGTCATTTTCTCGTATAAAAGCGAAAACATGTATTAAGCCCATGCGTAGTTACCACAGTACGTATATAGACACACATATTAACTAATTAGTAATTTTCAGGACGTCAAATTTATGTAAACAGTAATAACCATAGGCTATATATAACATAGTTACATCCATCTCTTGCTAAGTTTAATAAACAATGTGTACTGTAATAAAACATTAAAAGCGACACACGTATGCATAACTTGTCATTATGAAAATTACATTCCTACTGAAATTTTAAAGTGCATTTTTTTAGCGTCGAAACACGTTACAATAATTAATCGACCCAGAACGTTTCGTGTGATTTGAACCAGATATGAAAAGTGCACAGGAAGATATTACACAGACGGCAACAGTGGCCGAGTGGTCTGGAGTGTGGACCTTGATCCGAGTCATGCTGCCGAGAGGTCTCGACCCAGAGGTCCTACCAAATATCTAAATGCTTTAAGGAACTTTCCATATGTGAGGCGGCGAAGGTCCTTCAAGGACTACAGAATCACGTAGTAAGTAAATAAGTGGACAGTTTTGTAATTAATATCAATATTACTTTTTCCATAAGGAAAGGATCTGTGTTTCAGAGGCACATACTTCCTCCGTCATCAGATCTGAAGTGAGGAATGCTGTGTAAGTCGACAATTTATAGGGGGAAAGGATGTGGACTCTATTGGATTGGCCAGACTCTCTCCATCCTAATTATACAAATTTTACTTACACAATTAATCAGCCCTGATGATGGAGGTAGTGTGTTCACCTGAATCTCGCCAACATAACCCACTTCCATACACAGCAAGCGCTAAACCCCGGGTCAGATTTTACAATGAATCACCGTGAAACAGATTTTCTCGTAGTGTTTATGTAGTGTCTGTAAGTGATTAGGAATTTGAAGATTAATAAAAAAAGTTGGGAAATTTCAAATTTTAAAAAAAAATACTCATGAAACTTCATGGAGAAAAATGTTATTATTATAAGCTCTGAAAAATTTATTAAGGAGTCAATTGAATAAAAATTTTCTTGGATATTATCCATCGTCTAGTAAATATAAAACGTAAAACGACGTTTCGGAGATGGGACTCTATCTCCGTCTTCAGGTTCCTACACAGTTGGGACCACTAGATAGAGCTAATCATTGTTTTTCTATGTAATGTCCTCACAGGTCCCTGTGTATTTTAACAAAAGGTCTACAACTTTACTGGTTTCGTTAGAATAAAATGATTGACTATTATTTTTATTGAAAATTCATCAGTGGTGTTTGATGGGAGTGTTCCTTTACCGACACAAATACCAAACCTATGACCCACTAATAAAAACATACAAATCTATTGCTTCTTCCTCGATGGCACTGCTGAAAAGACAAGTAACCAAATTATCCATCAAATACGTTGGGCCAACTTAAAACGCGAAGAGACCACGAACTCAGTTCAGAGCACGTTAGTAACCAACATAGTTCAAGAACTGTTTACAATGTACGGCGCCGCCATGATTATAACAGTTTGACTTTCTACTGACCACATCAACAATTTACTCATAATAAAATATGCTGTGCCCGTCATAATTAAGCATAGATTATTTAACTATTGCCATGGTAACGCTGTTAAGAATCTTGGTCTTATGACTTGGCGCTATTTAAAGTTTATCAGAATCTTTAGGGGGCAGAATCTTAGAGACATTTAACCTGTTCGAAGTTTAAGTCATTTTTAAAAATAGGACAGTTACCCGCTGATGTAATTAAAATTGGTTTTGCATGTAGGCAGACGTTAGATGCTCAGAAGTTGTTTCTGCAGGACACTTACGAATATCTTTAAAACTGATTAGTGTAGGTAATGCTCTAATCACAAATGTTCTTGTGTTAAGAGTAAAATTTTTTCGTATAGTGTTTAGTGTTACGAGGCGAAAAATCAGGTCTATTCTCGGGCAAGAAAGACTGATAAGAAATTTAAGCATTTGTCGAATTCATCTTCAGTAACGCGGAAATTCTACTGGTATTTGTGATAGAAGTGTAAACCTTAAAGCATATTTATGTTTTATGTTGTAAACATATTTTTATGATCAGATTTTGAGAAAATAAACTTTCACTTCGTGTAAAGCATCGGTCACAGCGAAAATTCATTCATGTGCTTAAGAACGACGCAATGGATACACATGCAAGAGCGGTGATAAAATGACACTCACTTTTAACCTTGGCGCTATATGGAGGAGGGTAGCCAGCTTCCATTCAAGATTCGACCGCTATAAGCGTCTGAGTAAAATCCAAGTTAAAATAACTTAGAACATCCTCGTTTAAAATTAAATGAAACTACAAAATGTGTTTCGGAGTTTTAACGTGTGGAGGAAAATCTGCATGATCACTACCATGTTTCAGTTTTACGTTTTCACTCATGCACTTCGTTAAAAAAATACAAATAGCAAACTTTCAGTATAAAACTCAACATTGGATGAGACACAGTGTCTTCGTCATAAATGACGCGCGTCCAGCCAGTGCCCTTCCAAGAAGCGGACTCGACCCGGGAATCAAACTCTGTTACCAACTGTGATACCGCATGAAAACAGGTTATAGTAGCTGGAAGGACCGTACATAATGCCCAAGACATGGTAACTACGAGCCAGCTGACAGCCGGGTACACTGCCATGGTTTTAACAAAACGCACAAACGAATATCTGTATACAGAATGATCTCATAACAAGAAGAGTTTATCTCTTTTGCTATTAAACTTTATTTATTCTAAAAAGCTGTTTGAATTATCTAATAAATCTAGAAGAAATTTGAATCGAATGGATAACATGAGTTTGTGAATACGTAAGGAGAAAACATGAAGGCCTCAGTATAAATAAATAATAAACAATCTATTGTGATTTAGAAATGAGATTAACCGAGAAGTAAACTCAAAGAAAACAAAAGAATCTCTTGATATCTTGTCATCAAATTTTAGAAAGAATTAATATTACAATTATATAAAAAAAAATATATAGTTACGAAATTCCGGGAAAGTTTTGGCTAAGTTTCGATATTTGGAAATCACAGTAACAAATCAAAATTATATTCACAACGAAATTAAAAGCGGATTAACTTCGTGGATTGCTAGATGCTATTCAGTGCCGATTATTCGATTTTCCCGGATACTCCGATCGATGTGCTATTTGACATGTTTGGGCCTAGAACCAGTTTGCTAAGCAATCGGGCCGATCTCTTCTGAAGCTCTCCATCAGATCATAAACTTTTCTTTTATTCATACAGTTGAGGGGCCGATATTCAATTCACAGGTCGGCTAACCTAACCCCCACTAGAGTTACCAACTTAACTCAGACCCTCCAACAACATATTTTCAGTGTGTTAACAGTGTTCATCAAATCTTGTTGGTCAAATCTAAAACTTCTTGACGATGGTGAAGAGTCAATTGAATAAAAATTTACTTGGATATTATCCATCGTCTAGTAATAAAACGTAAAAAACGTAAAACTGAGTAGGAACCTGAAGACGGAGATAGAGCCCCATCTCCGAAACGTCGTTTTAAGTTTTTTACGTTTTATTACTAGACGATGGATAATATCCAAGTAAATTTTTATTCAATTAAATCTTGTTGGAATTTGAAGGAGTAATAGTAATATTTTATAGCATAAATATCATAAATGATTAATAAATAGTATCTATTACAAACAACTTACTATAGTTTTTTCCCGTATAAATGCGTTAGCCAGACTGATTAAATCTTCAGCTCACTGAGCCTTGTGTGAAAGTGCCTTTAGTCTACAGTGATCTTCACTTGTTATCACAGACTGTTCATAATAGTCAGATCACGGATCGTGTTCTACCAAAGGTGCAGCCATGTCAACCACTCAGACCGACTGAGAGTAAAATAAGTAAGTTTTTACTGGATATATTCTCCATGCTATGCCTTCAAACTCTCATTACTTATAGCAGTAAACCGCAACCAGTGTGATGCAAATTTGTATATGATATTATATTTTCGAATGTTATTTTTAGAATCAGGCAATATCTTATCTTTCGTCATTAGAATTCGTAATATTATCTTTATCACACACACATACTGATTCATCGTTGATAGTTTTATTCAACATGTTATACGTTATTATTGTCAGTCTTTACTTTAAAAGATGTTCATTCAGCGTCATAGTATTTAATACACAAACGAAATGTTTCGAATTTTGAATTCCATCTTCACGTCTGTATTAACGTTCTTATATTTCCACGCTATTGGTTTTAGAAACACTATGTTGAATTTAAATTAAATGTCTTTCAGTGTATGTATTAAATCACGTTTGTATATTAAATACTAACACATTACGTGAAAACTTTGTTATGCCTTGTGAGATGTAATACCGTGTAGTAAATAGATACTGAAAGACGTTTCAGAGGTTGCCTATCAAACCCTAGTCTAGAAGACAACCATATTTTTATTTATTCTTTATCCACAGAATGGTTTCCTTGAATATAGAATAACAAAGGTAACAAATTAAAATGTTTATTATCTTATTAAAATTGTGATTTGACGGAAAATATTAAAATATAAATAAAATGAAAATAAAAATTAAACTTGTTAAAATATAAATAATTTGGATTCATTCTCTTGAATATCTTCTGGGTGTTAATAAACAATTATACTGATGCAGATAACAAGTAATCTTGCAATACCCTTGATGTATATACTCTCATATAAACGTTTTATCTGCCTGTCGAACATAAATAAAGAAGAAACCAAAATTATAATAAGACCACATCTCATAAATCAATTGAAAATGGGATGAAAAATCAAAATTACGTTAATGTTTTCCCTTCCACAATCTAAACATTTAAAGATTAAAACTATTGTTTAATTTTTGTTTTACGTGGATGGAAAACCTGACATGAACTTGGACGGGGGACGTTTGAAAATAAGGTGCTGAGAAAAATATTTAACTCTGAGAGACATTACGCTACATAATTTTGATTTCCAAACCTTTTACCACTCGCCAAATATTATTAGGATGATAAAATCAGAAATATGAATATCTCACGAAGAAATAAATTGACCTAGGCGTAGACAGAAATATTATACTAAGGTAGATCTTAAATTCTTAGGGAGGGAAAGTGCGGACGAACTGAACAACTACTAAATTCTAACTTTTTGAACAATTGTTATTCAATTCCTTATAGTACCTAGTTCTGTGGAATTCTAGCATAAAGTAAAATCTTGAAACATAACCCTTCCCTTTGTTTAACGCTGTATTATTATCCGTCAAACAAAACTGAAAAAGGACTGTTTATATGCACTGCTAAATTCCATATCATTGAAGTTTGTTCTTGTACACGTTGATTGCAGTTATATTCAAATTGTATACTTCAAGATAAAGGTCACGGATATATATGAGTCATTAAATTGAATCATAAGGCTAATGAGTAATAAAATATAACATATCAGAAATTATGAACACAAAGTTGAGAGCAAATAGGAGCTAACTAATTTCTCCTATAATTTGTACTCATACACATTCACTCATACGCACACAA